AAGGTCATGTGGCTCCCAGGCCAGCAAACAACTTCTAGTTGAAGATGGGCCATTTCTGTCCCTATAAGCTCCCTCCCATCCATTTAGTCTCATCATTGTCCTTCACACTGAGTCCCAGTTTTCCAGGATATGACCTCACAATTTTGTCCTCTGTGCTTCCATGCTTTTCTTCATTTCTCTTGCTTCTTAATTCCAACCCCCCACATTTCTGTTTGTATCTTGTGCAGAGAAATTTTATTATCTTTTAGACCAGGTCATGCCTAGAGAACCTTATCACAGCCAAACACGCCCAGTGAAAGCATTCTTCTAAATATAGTTCTTTTCCTGAGAACGTCAGCTCTTAGCATAGTGTCTTTTTGCCTGCTCACACTTAGCCAATAGTTCAAAGGATGGAGAGGTTCCTCCTTCTAACCTGAGCATCTCCATCAGAGGTGAAGGTGCGCGGGGAGGGCTGACAAATGAAACTCTTCAGGCAGAGAATGGGTGAGCAAAACCACTTACATGCAACTGCTTACGATATATGAATAACAGGGAAAACTAATCCTGTCCTGTGTACCAGCTACTTTCAAATAATCTAACCTGAACAGTAAACCTCTCAGGTATATATTATGATGATCATTTTCAGATGAAATTGAGCATCCTCACAGCTAGTATACTGAATTTAAAATTTCCCAGTATGAGTCAGATGTACAGAAATGCAACTTTATGACTAAATTCAAATTTCTCATGAGCCACTATATCTGCTGATGGCAGAAAACACTAAATATTTTCAGTGAAAATAGCTCAGTCACTTAGTCTCTTTCATATAAATATTAAATAAGATTTAGGATTCTCTCTTCCCATTCCTCCCTGTTGGTCCAGTGAGTCCTGTTGTGCAGATGTTTACCTTAGTTGTCTTTGGTGTCCTGGGGTGCCTCCTAGCTAGGGCTCCCCACATGGCCCTCTATCTTTGCATCCATTATTAAGGTGCCCACAGTTGGCTGTAACTCCCACCTGGTTTCCCAGCAAAGTAACGCATGTGGTTCCAAGCTTCCTTTGCCCCAACTGGGATGTCACGGAGGATGCGGGCAGCCACGAGTCAACCAGGCCCTCCACTCACTCCTACTCTCTTGGGATCTTTTACCCATAACCTTGCAAAGATGTCCCTTCTTCCCAGTATCCTGAAGACCATGTGGATTCTCAATTATCAAGAGTTGTAGGAACACTTTAGGTATCCTCATGCCCACACTGGAGCCAAGGGAGAGAGGAAAAATAGAGGGTATTTCGACAATACAGTTCTAAGAAGCACTGTGAGGCAAATTCCATTTTCTAATTAAGTGACTTCCAAAGAAAGCCCAGGAAAAGATAAGCAGAGCAGCTTCAAAAGTCCCTTGCTTGACAACAGTTTATTCAAAAGGTCAGCATTATAATGAAATATTGCAATGCACATCAGTTTTATAGTTTTGGAAAATTTAACCACACACACACATCACTCATCAGAAAAAATCTTCACTCATCAGAAAAAAATTGAAAAAAAAGTAAAAAATTTAATTATTAACGTACTATCACAAATATTAGGAGACCTGATACAAATGTATTAAAAAAACTATCAATCAACACATATGTTTAGTGCTTATTTTTCTGAATTGCTATGCATGTATAAAAGCTGCTCACCACTTACCTGGGAGGTTGTTACAATAGCCTGGAATCCTAGTCTAGAGTGATGACAGGAAAAATGGAGATGAGGGAATGACTTCTACAGATGCTGTGGAGAGTGCTGGGCTTTAAATGTCTATGGGAACAATGTGTGATAAGTCACTAGCCAAATCTGTCACATATTTATTTAACTAAAGCTGTAGCATGAAGATGAACTTGAAATATTATTAGAAACCAAGGATTTTGTGTTGGTTCACTCTTTTCTGCTTTAGATGTTTCCTTTTAACCAAAGAAAACATGTCTTAAATGTCTTTTCTATTTTATATACACATTTTATGCACTTAGATTGTTTTCCACTACTTGCTTCTATATAAATTTGAACCATAGTTGAAACTTAAAACTTCAAGATATGTTCCACAACCTGTGTGGAAAAAATCTCGAGCAGCGATTCAATGGTTTATGCATAGAACTTGGTCTAATCATTGAGAAACTTTGTGAGCTCTCATTGGTATAATTTGTGAGATGTGTACTTGTAGTCGCTGAAACAGCTTAACTGGATATTTGAGAAAGTGCATATTGAGGATATTTGAGAAAGTGCATATTGTTTGAGGGGGACTAAGATGGGGTATGGACCTTTTTTTTTCAGTTTTCTGTTTGTTTTTGTTTTTGTTACACACCATTGCTTCAAGACCCTTTCAAGGTGTGGAATTTGAGCATTCCCAGCGAACATTCCTTCACTTAGCAGTGGCCAGTGGCATTTTATTTTCGAAGTCACAGAGCATGAGAGAGACAAACAGCAGTATTTGTAGTGCACCAGATGCAAGAGGGACTTCCAGGATCATTACGGTGATATCCTTTCTTCCCAGATATTTCACATGAAATATCTAATGAAGACAAATTCTGTTATCTGCCTTCAATGTCATAAGTTGGACTAGCACTGTACTTTTTTTTCCCTGAAAATATGTAAAGTTGTGACATGGTGTTTAATAGTTTTAAGCCATTGCTGTCAAAATAAACACAGCTGTATGAAATGATGACCCTCTCATCTTTGTAAAAATACAATGGCGTCCTGATATGTTTTCCTAACTCTGGATGTTGTTACTAATCCCCTGGATTTCTGAGCTCCCTCCTTTCCCCCAGTGAAGAGTGCAGTTTTTTTTTAAGTGATTTTATTTATTTTCAGAGAAAGGGAGGGAGAAAGAAAGGGAGAAAGGGAGAGAAACATCGATGTGAGAGAGAACATCAATCATTTGCTTTTGTGCCCTGACTGGGAATATACCCACAACACAGGCATGTGCCCTGACCAGGAATTGAACCTGTGACAATTCTTCTGACGGACAATGCCCAACTGAGCCACACTAGTCAGGGTGATGAAATTAGTGACATTAAATTACAATATGACAAAAAGCCTTTTTGAAAATCTATGTCACAATGCAACATCCATACGATGTTAAAACAATAAATGTAGACCAAGGAGAAGTTAATGAACTGAGAGGAAATTTTGTGAACTAGGTCACCTGCAAACCTTGAAAGGGTCATTAGTGATAGCTTGCACGAAATGGTAGTTGCTGACTTGGGGGTCCTGCTGTACAATCATATGTGTGAGCTCTTCTTGTTTGATCTTTGGATATAAAAGTCACTGTTATAATATTTTCTTGGTACACTTTTGTATTTCTCAAAAAAGCAAGTCTCTATTGCTAAAAGTTGCATTCAAGAAAAGAATGGGGAAAGGGATGATGAGTAAGATACATTTCTAAGCAATGTTTCCTGTCTTCCCATTTCTAAGTATATTTATTTAAACAGCAGCATACATTTTGTTAATTTTTATAAAGATAAATTGTTTTCACCCTGGCTGGGTTGATCAGTTGGCTGGAGTGCCTTCCAGTACACCAAAAGGTTAGGGGTTCAATTCCCAGTCTGTGCACGTAGCTGAGTTTCGTGTTTGATCCCAGGTCAGAGCACGTACGGAAGATGTATGATCCAGGTTTCTCTCACACCAGTGTTTCTCTCTATGTCCTTCTCCCTTCCTCTCTCTCTAAAATCAATACACATATCTTCAGGAGAGGATAAAAAAAGATAAATTGTCTTCTAAAAACAGAAAGCAGAGTTTTGATACCTAGTTACTTTATTTCTATCACACTCTAGATTTTTGTTTGTTTGTTTTGGTTCATTTTTTTCCCCCTGAAAGACCTTATGTTTGTTTTTTAAGTTTAATTCCACCTTGTTGGGTTGTGGAAAGATAAAAACTTCTGATAAAGTTAACCTAGCTACATAAAAGTCCACGTTGCATATGATCATAATCTTGATCTTTGACTAGATCCGAACTAGTAAAATCTTGTGATTAATCAGAATGGGTTACATTGTTTGTAGTGTGTCATCTTCACAGATGGGAGAGAGAATTATCAGAGTTCTCTTGAATATTTTTAATCCCTTCTAAGATAAAATGGCTTTGATGTTTGGGGGGGTTCTTTAAACTGGGTTGAGTTCCCCAAATAAATGACTTGGAAGAAATTTTGAATTCTAGTTTTGGTAGGACTATAGGTCAAAAAGAAAAGAAACTTGTTTTTTAATTCATAGTATTTCAACATTGCCTTGAACATGCCTCATATGTTTTAAAATATTGTAAAATTTAACAAATATTTCTATCCATTGTAGGATGAATAAAAATGTTCATAAAAATATAATGAAATATACCTCTTGGGAATGATGTTGAGGTTTTTATTGTTCTTCACAGCATAAACATTTTGTCAAGATTATTAATTGCTCCTTTTCTAATTGTCTGATTCCAGTCTACTGGAGATCTGATAACAGAGCTTTACTTTGACCACTAAAATACCTGACATCTACCAAACACCCAGAATGCAGCAAGAGCTCCCAGATGCCAAGTGTTGCCTAAATGTATCTGTCATTTCAGCCAGCCACTTGGACCTTGCAACACATAATTTCCTTAAAGTGTTGCTCACCAAATGCTCTGAACTGAACTGTACGCCCCACAGCCACACACAGCAGGGGTGTCCAACCTGTGGCTTGCAGGCGGCACATGGCCCGGGGTGGCTATGAATGAGACCCGACACAAAACTTAACGCATTATTAGATTTGTGTGTGTGTGATTACACATCACAATGTATTTAATGTGTGGCCCACGACAACTCTTCTTCTTCCAGTGTGGCCCAGAGACACCAAAAGATTGGACACTCCTGTCAGAGACTCATTAAATATATTTCTATGATTACATAGGAATCATTGAATAAAAGAATAAAAAAAACTGTGCAATTCATCTAATCCCCTTAAAGACTAGCTTAATAACACACATATATTAAAATAAGAATGATTTAATTTATTTAATTTCTTTTTTTTTCTTACAGGAGACCTGGCGAGCCCCCATTGATACAAGGCTGGCTTCCTTACTTTGGAGTGGCCCTGGAAGTAGGAAAAGATCCCATAGGTGTCATGAAAACTCTTCAAAAGCAACACGGTGACACTTTCACACTCCTCCTTGGGGGTAAACAGCACTTCATATATCATAACATCTCACTTGTTCTATAATGTCATTCTGTCTTTCTCTAGGCAGCATATGGAATATTTGTACAAAATTGTTTTATTTGTAGAGCTAATACAAAAGTAAACTATGTTCTTGAGCATAGTAATGTTCACATTAAACAAAAACAAATTATAAAACACTCTTGAGGGTAACTAGGTAACCTGATTCTCCAGCCATCACTTGTCGTTACAGTTTGGTTTGGTTTGGTTTTAAGAATAGTTTTGAAAAAGTTATTCTGTATTAATGGCCTTTATTTTGTAAAGAAGTTTTAGGTTTATAGAAAATTATAGAGTTCCCATATGTCCCTCCCCCTATTATATTTTCCCCTGTTATTAACATCTTATACTAATACTTCTTACAACTGATGAGCCACTGTTGATATGTTAGTAAAAATCTGTGGTTTACATTAGGGTCTACTCTTTGTGGTATATGGTTCTTTGAATTTTGACAAATGCATACTATCATGTATACACCATTACAGCATTACACAGAATAGTTTTCACTGCCTTCAAAATCCCTTGTATTCCACATATTTGTTCCTCTTCCTCTCCTGGAGCCCCTAGCAACCACTGATCTGGAATGTATTTTTAAATTGAAAATGTTCATTATCTTTCTACTTTAATAAAATGTTTACAAAGCTAGATAAAAGAAACACAAGTTTACTAGGTACCCCAACCTCAAAGGACTAAGAAGAGAAGCTACAATGTTCTTAATTTATCCTCCTTTAAGGGTTTTGCTGTCCAGATGCATCCCTATCTATTGCTACATAACAAAACCTCCCACAGATTTAATGCCTTAAAACAACAACTGGTCTTGCCAGAGTCACTTGTGTGGCTTGAGTCCTCGGCCCTCTTGATTGGGGATAGATGGTCCACACTGGCCTTATTTATGTGCTGGCAGGACCTCCTTGTCCACATGCTGTTTCATCCTCAAAAACAACATCCTCACTATATCAGCTGGTGTTTCAGCAGCATGTGAGGAAAAGTTGCAAGGCCTTCTGATGTTACAAAACCCCACTTCTGCCTCATCCCATCAGTCAGATCAAGTTGCAGGCCAGCACAGAGTCAAAAGTCGGGAATTAAACTCCACCTCTTCCTGGAGAAGGAAGAGGTGGAGTCACTTTTCTACACCTCTGACTTCTGCTTGGGTGTGCTGGTGAGAGAGGCAAGTGTGTTCCAGCTCCCCACCTCTCACTGGGCTCTGATAACACCATTCACTCTCCTTCCTAAGGAAATTGAAGACATCAGGTATGGCCTCACTCAGATCCCCAAATATCTACCAAATGTACCAGGTTTCACAACTGTTCTTAACGTCTATTCTCCAATTTCAATGTCTGTTCAAGGCAATCTGGGTAATTTTTCCACGATGCTTACTTTCTGCTTTCTCTGGGCTGGCATTTTATTGTGTATTTCTCTCATACATGTATCTTCATTTTTTTCTCTTTCGAGCCCTTATCCTTCACTTATAACCATGCTTAAGCTTCTCCTATATTCTCTATCTAGTTACTTTTCACTTCTTTTTTTCTCTTCAGCATCCAGGCTTTTCAAGAGTTATCTATATTTGCTGCTCCTACTTACTTATCTCCTAGAAACCTAACCATAATGAGCCTTCTGCCTTGCTGAGCTCAACAATGGGCTGTCTCCTGGTTGGAACTCTCTATTTGGTTTGACAGCACTGATTCCCCATTCCTTCCTGAAACTCTCTATTCCTTCATTCTCATGACACTGCACCTTCTGGTTCTTTCTCCAACTCGGAGTATTTCTCATCTGAGTCATCTTTAGGCATGCCTGTTTTCTTTGCTCAACCCCATTTATTTTCCTCTTACCAGCCTTAGAATTTTATGTTCTATTCCTAAAGAATTTGGGTGATTTCTTCTTACTGTAATTACTTTGCTGAATATCAGAAGCTGCCTTTTGTACATAGAGTGACTTCATTTCATTGCTACCATTTTAATGTAATTGGGAGGAAAAAATGATGCAATTGGATGAAACTGTAAGCACGACTGAGTTCTCACCTGGGCGGGCAATATTTGATTCACCACAACTTCTTCCTTCACCTGGAAGCTGGCAAGTCTCTTCCAAAAGTAATTGTGTGCACTCTTATTTCAGAAAAATTAAAATGGAAAAAAAATCATGCATCTTAGAAAGAAAGAAATCATAATATGTGAACATAATCCTCACAAGTATTCCCAGAGTCTCGGCTCCACCTACCTCCCCAGCCTCATGTCTTGCTACCACTTGCCTTGAGCTTAATGCACCATTAATGCACAAAATGGTTTGAAATTTCCTCTCCACACACCAGGCCCTTTTGTGTCTCTGTGTTTTCTCTTGCTATTTATTCTTCCAGAATGCTGTTCTCTTTCAGTCGTCCTCAAAAGGTGGCTGACCTGGACTCATGCCCTGAGGCCATATAGTCTACATATCACTTCCTCCCCAAAGCCTCACTGACCTTTGCCCCTTTCCTTGTTCTGCTGATGCTTCTTCTCCAGGCCCAGTTACACCCAATAGCTCTTCTGTTATAGCATTTAATAAGGTCTGAATGTGTTGCTAATTCACTTGTCGATTTCCTTCCATTATTTTCTAGCTCCTCTATTGCCAACATTTAGTCCAGAGCTCAGCTCTGATTGATTCACAATAAATAATTGATGAGGAATTTCTCAATACCTTGGAGCTGATGAAATACTTACTAGAATACAAATAAAGGCCATAGCTGGTTCTATTCTAAGTGAGCTTTGGCTTCATAATATAAAACTGTATTCTTCACTTTTTTTAAAGAGTCACTTTAAAAAATTCAGCCATATGTTCTAGTGAGTAGATACAACACATTATTGAAATTTTAGTTTTCCTTTTAAAATGCATTACACAGAAATAACCTAAGATGACTAAGCAGAAACTTGTGGCAGATTTGAATCATTGTATTCACTTTTCAACCAAAAACCACACACAATTTCTTCTGACACTTGATTTCTTAGTTTTAGTTACTGAGAAGCTTGCTAAATTCCTTATGTCTCAATAATTTGACCATGATTATGTTTTTGAACTCAACAGTAGACAACCACGGTTGAATATGTACTACTAACTTCTCTCTGGCTTCTTACTAGAGTTTGAATAAATTCCTGTCAAGATATCTTATTAACGTATATGGTTCTGATAATCAGTTTGCAAAATGCCTCATTTGGAAGATGTGACATGAGGAAGAGTTTTTCACCCTTGTCCCATAACATGACTTCAGTGAATAATGTTCTTGTATGATGAACAAATGATTGTCATCCCAAAACGTCTCAAGGGACATGGGTGTCATCTTAATAAAGAAATAAAAAGGTACATCTTTTCATGAGAAATCATGTAAATTTGTGACCTGTCGCAGAAAATAGTTCTCTAATTGGTGTTGTGTGGTGGTGCGGCCAAGTCGCTTTCCCCGGGTGTCATGCCCGGGAAGCCGTGCTGCACATCATTGTCAGCAGCTGGCGAAATCTCCCTAATAAGTGGGAGTGTGTGATGTGGTCACACATCAGCCTCGTAAAATGAAAAGGTGGCTTCCATTCCACTCCTCCAACTAACATTTTCAACTTGAGATTTTTAAAAATTTATAGAAGAACCAACTAAACATGGAAATTAAAAGCTTATAATTCTGGAAAACTTCTTTAAGGTTCAAATTTATTTCATATTTTGTTGACTAGGCATTTCTATTCCATATAGTCAAATAATTGTTCTGAATTCCCATGGATGTGTCTCTGTAAAGCACCAAATATCTTAAATGAAAACATTAAAACCCCATTTATAATGATCCAGATGTCCAACTCCTTGTGTATAGAAGACATTAGTGTGGGTGATCTAACTTGTTTTTTGACATTTACTGACATACTTTGCATCATATAGCTTCACCTTCCTGAAGGATGTAATTTTGAACTAAGCGAAAAGGCTGCTGAGTCAGTAAAGGATCATGCACAGGTTATACAGGAACGCTGGAGTTAATGTCTTAAGGCCCAGAAAGCCCCTAAAAAGGGAAGAGAATGAATTATTGACAAAGAAAACATTAAAAATTTTGACCCTATTTCAAATTCAAATATACTGCTCATAAGGAATATATCTAGCAAATGTAAGCCTCATTTTAACATTTATATTTTAGACATATGCAAACTCTGAAATTCTTTAAATCAATTATTTTATGTCAAGTGCTGACACTATTTTTTTCCTTTTTGAAAAACATGGCAAAGGCCATTGTTTCCACCTTGTGATCTTTGTGAATGAGGCAACTTGCCTATTGACACTTGTTCATTTACATAAAATTACACTAGAGGAAAAGTTCATTTTGCTCCAAGAATCCATGGCCTTCCAAATAACTTCTCAGGTTTCCTTTGTTAGGAAATTTAAATTCATTTTATGAATGTATATGTGTTTTCCTAACTGTCTGATTAAAGATTACAAAGAAACTCTGGTTTTGCATCTCACATTAACAGATGGTGGACAGATGGTTTAAATTAATATTAATTTTGGAAAACTTAGCTTAAATTGTTTATACTGAAGATTAAAAGTTGGAAAGCCAGCTAACATCTCCAGGGTTATTAGTACTTCCAAACCCACTTGAAAAGCAAAATCCAGAAATTAAATGTCCACTTTTAAAGAAATCCACATCTTACTCAGAAAGATAGATAAAATGCAATGCTTTGATGTGGAAGAAAATTAAAATAAAAATGAGAAAGAGAAAATACAGATCCTGGAATATAAAAAGCATGGAAAACAGTGAGAATTTTGTCTATACACAAATTGCTTTAAACTGATCCGTAATGATTTTTATACCCAACAGCCTGTGTGCAACAACCGCCTGTTTTTTTTTTTTAATATTAATAAACGGTTGCTAACCAGGGTGCTTTTTCCACATTTTATTCTTTTATTTGGAATTAACCTCATCAGTTTTCTCCCACCCTCACCCCCGAAGAGAGATGGAGGAAAAGGGACCGAAGGTGTGTGTGTGATGAGTTACCACAGGAGCGCTCACCTGCACGCAGTCCTCCCGCAGCCCGCCCTGCGGAAGGCTCCCATGCTGCCCTGGCGGGATCGCTTTGCCTTTCTACTCTGATTCTGATGGCTTTAGAAAACTGATAGGAAACATTTCAAAATATACTGTAAAAAGTGTGTGTTTCACAAGCAGGACCTTTTATACATTCTCTGAACTTCCATGACAAATTTAAAATAACCCTAAAGACATTTAGTAAAAGCTTTTCATTTAGTGGAAGGAGAAAAGTATGAATCACCACCTGTGAAAATACACAGCTTTGCCTAGAATTATGCCTTTTGCAAAATAAGAAAGTTGATTCTTTTTTTCAATGATCTGTCAGGCAGATGCTGGCAATTTTATTTAATTAAGCTGCTATGGTAAAGCAGGTGTCAGAAAATATGCCCACGGCCCGTTGAGTCCTTTCTCCGCTCCCCAGGGGGAAAAATACTGAGTTTGTTTTGTAGATGCAGCTTTGGGATTGGACCAGACTGAGTAGTCATTGCTCGCTTTCCTGTCATTTCTATACTGGCCCACCTTATTAAGTAAATCAAGAGGAAATAGAGTGAATAAAATTGAAGGCAGATGATTTATTTTTAGGAGAAAACCATAGCACATGTATCCTTGTGTACAGTAAAAACTTAAATTATGTTTTAAATTGTAAAACAACAACAAAAAGCACTTATCTTCTTTCTAGGGTTGAAAGTTATTCAAAACTTTATCCCAAATCTTGTACCAAATTAAAGTTGTGTGATGCTGTTGAAGTAACCACAAACAACAAGTGAGAAGTCGTTCATCTCAGAAAGCTATGCAAACATACATGCACACACACCACAGAATGATAAAGTTAAGGAGAAAGTGTAGATGATCCAACATACTTCAAGGTCTAATTATTTTTTATTCTCTAGAAGTCAATAAATAGGCATTTAAATGTACAGGAGCATCTAAACTTCATGTGTGTTCTTGGGAAGGAAATACTTATTAAATGTTGTTATTGAATACTATCTACATATTTCATATAACTAGAAGGAATCTTAAAATAGTACTAGAATTACTCCAAGCCTGATGAATCAGAATCAAGAAGAAATCTGTATTTTTAACCAGTACCTTAAATCTTCTAAGTGGTTAAGGTCGGACAACACTAATGTAGTAAAAAACCAAATGCCAACACCTCAAAGAACACTTTGATAAGTCTTGAAAGCAGGCTGAAGCAGACTCTACTCTCTGTCTAACAACTCTACTATATAGTACACTTATCCATAGGATACAATGTTTTCTTAACATCTTTATAGCTCAAGGGGAAAGAGATCCGACCAAGTGTCTGGGTTTCAATAAAAGTTGAATGAATATAAGAATGAATGAATGAATTCTAGTTTGGGATCCTGTTTCAGTATGTGACCTCAGACATGTTACTAAACCTTCCTGAACCACTATTTTCTCATCTACAAGAATGAAAATTCTGACCTTTTATAATTTGTTTTTAGTGTTGAATTAGTCATTCATTTGTAAGTACCTACTTCATACCACATCTTTATTTATTTGAGTTAAAATTATTGTATTTAACCAAAGCTAAGATGATACCAAGTATGAAAAAGCTATTTATAAAGTGTAAATAATCAGTAATGGAATGGCGTCTTGCCAATTTGATTTGATTTTGTGTTGTTGGAGCAAAAATATGAGAAGTGTTTAAATCTAGGGATTCTGAGAATATTTAAATGCTAATTTAAATATTTAAGTTTTTAGTTAAAAATTCAAAGAGTACATTACCTTCTTGTAATTCATTAAGAATTTCAGAATATTTAACTTCAAGCTTCTAGAGTTTTTCCCACCATCTTCCATTTTAAAAAGAAACTTGTAGTGGACCTTTTAATGAAATGGATTTTATTAAACTTTTCACCTTTCTAGATGTTCGTTATTAAGACCTAATTTTCATTAAGATATTTTCAAATTGCTGGGGGAGGGTGCTGTTTGTTTCACCTCCAAATGAGCTCATATTTTCATTTTTTTCAGGAAAGTACATAACATTTATTCTGGACCCTTCCCAGTACCAGTTAGTGATGAAAAATCACAAATTAAGCTTCGAACAGTTTTCTAATGACATATTAAAGAAAGCATTTTCCATCCAAAAGTTTATAACCAATGAAGGCCTGAGCAATGAACTGCACGACTGCTATCAGTATCTGCAAGGGAGATCCTTGGATGTACTCTTGGAAAACATGATGCAGAACCTGCAACAAGTTTTTGAAGCCCAGCTATTTAAAACCACGAACTGGACCATGACGCACCTGTTGACATTCTGCAGCTCAGTAATATTCGAGACAACGTTTACTACCATATTTGGAAAATTCGTTGCTGGCGATAGGACAAAATTTATTACTGAACTCAGAGATGATTTTTTTAAATTTGATGCCAAATTAATACATTTATTATCAGACATACCTATGGACCTTCTAGGAAATGCCAAGTCTATTCAAAAGAAACTTATAAAACGTTTGACATCAGAAAACTTGGCTAAGATACAGGGATGGTCAGAAGTTGTTCAACTGAGGCAAGATATTCTGGAGAAACACTATACTTCCACGGACTTTGAAATAGGAGGTAAGAAATTTCCAAATGATTACTTATCTAAAATAGAATAATTTACAATAAGACCTTTGAAATAAAAAGACAAAATCGTGACCTTGAAAATTTTTATGCTCTTTCTAATTGGCTAATGATAAAATGTTTTACTCTGAAACAACCCTCTGTGATAATTGATTTTTTTTTCTTTTGCTGAGGTGGTAAAACAAGATACTTAATGGTGATAATGAGAAAGAGTATAACTAAGCTGCATTTACTCCTCTTATCTCATCCCCCATCTCCCCCCACCACCACACACACATTACATTTTAAACTATTCTCATTAAGCAGAAAATTAGACTTCAGAAGCCTATTGGTCCTCATTAGCATGCACTGATCCTTGGCTGGGTCTGTGTCCTAACATCTTTTAATTAGCACACTGCAAATCTAATCAGTGTAATAAACGCTATTAATCTTCCTTTTCACTTATTTTCTCCCAGCACATCATTTAGGCTTTCTCTGGGCCTCTGTGGCAAACACTATTCCAAGCATGGCCTGGACAATCTATTACATTCTACGGCACCCAGAAGCTATGGCAGTGCTGCGTGACGAAATTGACCATTTGCAGGAGTCAACAGGTCAAAAGCGAGGGTCTGGATTTTCCATCCACATCACCAGAGAACAATTGGACAGCCTGGTCTACCTAGGTAATTTATTTTTATCTGTTATGAAGAAAAGAAGGTTACTTCTCGGCAAACTCAGTTTATCACTCAAAGCTATTTACCAGGAGGTGGAGGACACAGCTGCCTAATTGACATAATAACACCCATTTACATCAATTATAAATTATGTAGTTTATAGCTGTAGATACTCTCGTTGCATGTAAACACTAAGGCCTAGGTAATTAACTATGCAAGGTATGCAAAGGGCTAGACCAAAGCTTTGCAATTATTTGAAAAAAAAAGTTTCTGCCTATTAAGTCATTTGATTCTGAGCATCTGTTGGCATGCTAATGCTTTCCAAACACTGCTGTTCTGTCTCGTCAAGAAAGGTATTTGGGGCTTGAAAAAGAAAGTATTTCAGAAAAGCAACTTATGTGCAAAATATATTTATTCCACCCTAAAATGGTGTCTATATTTTCATGCACTGCTAGGATGTTTTATACAGCTTGGAGTGCACAATTCTGAAAAATGTACTACAAGTGATTTCCATTGGAAATTCATGATTTAAACACACTTTGGTTTGGGCAAGGAGGGAGAAGAAGGAAGGGAGAGAGGGAGGGAAAAGGAAAAGCAATAACTATAAATTACTTCATGTGAAATATCAATATTTTATAAAATATTCACTGACATCAGATATGCGTGGTCACTATGTTGAATACATTTTAGGTCAGGGGTGACAAGGTTGTTTTTCTGTTTCTACATGCACCTGTATACCAGTGACACCTGCTTTTGATGACTGTGGTTGCATTCTCCTTTACTGGTTTTGATGTGAACTGCCTATGACAATGTGATAAACTTCAATTCTCAAAGTTAAATTCCATATCAATGACTTATCCTCTATTCCTTCTGTATTGACATTTCATCCTGTGGTATCCTCTACTATACAATAGTCCAAGTCTCATTAGGCAAATACAGGAGTAAGTCTGTATATATCTACCTTCCTTCACTCCTTTGACAATGTAGGAAAGCATTTTAGCCCATGTTGGTCTCAATTTTTTATCTTTTAGATATGTTCGAGTTTTTTTGGTAGGAACTTCCATGCGCAAATGTCCTACAGGTCTTGTCCACCTGTTGGCCTTAAGAAGAATAGCCCAAGAGATTGTTCTCACTGTTTAGGTGAAACCCATCAGAAGCAGTAGCTGGAACCCGGCTTTGTGCTGACTGTTGGCGAGCTTGTTCAGTCAATTAGGAAAAATGTGTCACCTTATAACATACATTATCAAAGTAATTTTATATTTACTTGGTGAAAGAAAATAATCACACATTAGTAAAATACAAATATTATTTTATTTTTCTTTTGAGAATTATTGAAGAGCAAATGCACAAAATTTGCATAAAGTTCTGGATAGTTGCCTTTACATGGATACACAGTATTTCCTGAGTAGAAGATAGATGGTTCTATAAAGGTCAAGTTTGCATTTCCCATCTATTCAATTGCATTTTATGAATCTGATGATGGATACTGAGAAATAAAGCAAATAAACTTCAAAAATATATGTTTATATTCTATAGACAATTATTACTCTTTTTTAAGTATATTTTATTGATTATGTGTTACAGCTGTTCCAATTTTCCCCCCTCTGCCCCCTTCCACCAGCTTCCCCCCTTTTTCAGTTGAAGTTCATCAACTCTCTTTTTACCTACCTTCTCATTATTGAAACAAAAGGTCATTTTTAAGTGGTGGTATGAAAGGAGGAAAGTTTAAATGTATTTGATCAAAAGAAAAGGGTCCATTCAAGCCCACAGCTAGAGCTAGAGATTTTCATCCTTAGAGTGCTCATAAATTCACAATTCATTGACCATCGACAAGGGAATGACAGCAATCCCATCTGAGTGTAGATCCTCCTGGATATAGGCAATGTCTTCCAACACCTGGAAAGCAGACCACTGTTTATCACAACTGTGGTTACAAGCAGAGGCCAGGTAACACTCATTACAAGAACTTAATCTTCTAGAAAATACTGTGCATTTTTTTCTTTCATGAGATAGTTTTATGCAGAGGGGAGCAAATTTTTATATGGCTCAGTAACAACAGATAACCTCTGCATCTAGTCATAGCTCAATTGTATTTCTGTATGTCAAAAGAGTTTGAACTGTATGTACAAAAGGCAAGATTTGCAGAATTAAATATTTGTACAGTGTACCATATGGTAGGAGTGTATGTGCTTCCTGTTCTCATCTTCTTAAGGAAAGTGTTCTATGTATTCTACATATAATTTCTCTTTAAAGAGATATCTTTAATTTTTATTATTATAAAAAAAGATCGCAAGGATTGAATGAATACTGCATTTTTTAAAAAACAAGAACAGAGAATTTTGTTATTAGTACAGCAGAGGGATGGGAGATTATTTTTTATAGAGATATTGCATGCCACACACATTTTTTATACAGTGAGGTTGAAAAGGAAAACTAGAATGTCATAGAAAATGGTGTCTTATTCCTGAACAAAAATGATTTCTCTAGAGTGGTCCAGAAGACAGAGCCCAGCAGGGCACAGGTGATGTAAATCTTCATGCATATCTTACTGACACTCCTGGCTTAACTGTATGGACCTCAAATTTATCAAATTTCCTCTGGTGTCAATATGCACCTAATGTCAGCAAAAGTTAAAGTGTGTAACATAGATTAGACTTTTAAATACCAAGCCCAAAGCAATCGTCTGTTTTGAGAGGTTGTAGTGGATTTATGCTTTTATTCAATACCCTTGAAAATCTTTCTTTAAAACCATTCTACCTTTCACTTAAAGAATAACACAACTTTAACCCTGGCTGGTATGGCTCAGTGGACTGAGTGCCAGCCTGCAGAACCAGGGGGTCACTGGTTCGGTTCACAGTCGGAGCACATGCCTGGGTTGTGGGCTGGGTCTCTGGTTGGGAGTGTGTGAGAGACAACCAGTCAATGTATCTCTCACACATCAATGTTTCTCTCCCTCCCTTCCCATCTCTCTAAAAATAAATGAATAAGATCTTATGGAAAAAAAAAGAAAAACACAGCTTTATATTTTTATATATTTATGTAACTGATAAGAATTTGGCTTATCATGACCCTCACTAAAATGTTATATCAATTAGTAAAGGTCTCTACCATTAAATTTAAATTTAAAATAAATTAGTAAATACAATGAGGTTCAGATAATGGTTACTTGGGGCCTAAATCTCAATAGAAAGATGAGCTGAGAAAATAGAAATTTTAAAAACTCTAAGAGAAAAGTAAGAGATAATGCAAGGAGCAGAAGCTCTCAAAATTAATTTGTACTTCTTACTTCAAGGTTTACTGAAATAATGTATGTAAATAATAAAAAGTATGGGTTCAATAAATATTATCTATTATTATCAGCAAAAGGATATTAAACTTCAATGTCATCCCTACAATGTTTATGTTTTCTTTATTTTCAAGTATTTGTGAACCAAGCTGGTATGCTATTCAAGTCCACTTCACCCTGCAGGAAGGTGCTTTCTGCATAGCGCCCATGAAAAGAGCAACTGTACTCTAAGTAAGAACATAAGGCAAAGTGGATTATAACTCTTAAATTCTATAAACTCTCAGGTGAATTGCCAGCAATTACATATCCTGAAAATGAGAAAAGTTGGAAATGTGGTTCAAGTTGGGAATATTAGAATAAAGGAAGGTACTGCAAAACTAGGGTTTGGCAAAATTTGTAATACTTTTTATTTTTTTAAACAGAGGTCAGATATTTCAAAGCAACTTTATGGACTTACATTCTTTTGTGTGGTCTTCACTGAGATACTGGGGGACTGGGGCAGCTATTACTTTGTCATTAGTTTTACCGACGAGAAAAGTTGAGGGGAGGGTGGTACAAGGGAACTACATGGTAATGGAAAAAGAAACACAATAAAGATGAAAAATAATACTCAAGGTGCTATATAATTAGCCTAAGATCATAGAGGAAAAGGAGAGAGGCAGGACTTTAACTTGGGCTTTCCATCCGAGGCTTTTCCCCTCAGACCTCTCTGCTGTCAGAATCACTGGAGTCCTTTTCATTGTCCAAACTGAAAGGGGGGAGGAATTCTTTGTGTCGTGACCAACAAAGGCAGCCATAATAGTCACACGGACAAGATCCGAAAATGTGGGCTAGATGATGATATTTTTAATTTCAGATGAGACATTAAGAATGATAGTATTAATAATTATTTTACTATGTGGCAGGCATGTATTTTAGCTTATTTAATCCTCAAGTATCATCTATAATTACTGGGTAACAAGGTTCAGAAAGTTGAGTTAACCACCCCAAATCCTACAACTAGATAGTGGCAGAGCCAGAAATTGAGGCCAGGTCTGTCTAACACAGCGCTAACTTATAAACACTGTCATCTTATGGAAAAATGCTGGAGATGTACCTGAGACCTTGACCGCTGTTTTTTACATGTTTTTAAAATAAAAATAAATTTTTCATTTTGAATAGTTTTAGATTTACAGAAAAGTTACTAAGATAATAGTGTTCCCATATATCCCTGACACACATTTTCCCTTATTATTAACATCTTAGTGTGGTATATTGGCAAAATTGTGGGTGTTATTTTGAAAAAAAAAACTAATTTAGTATTATAAAATATGGTTATTTGAGAAATTTAAATTGTACATAGTTTACACAACAACAGTAAAGTTTACAAAAACAATGTTCTCTTCCTGTGGGGTTACATAGGAGGTATCAATTCTACTTCATATTAGAGACTTCCAACTAGAGCTGAGGGGAAAAGCATCTTCCATAAAGGGGTACACCAGAAATAAGGGAGTGAAATGTTTATATGTAATCTAGGGAAACATCAGTTAAAAAGTGAAAAATACTGATTTGGATGTTTATCGAATTTCCAGCTCAGCACAGAGCTAAGAGGGTTAGATAATATAATGAATGCTGGAAGCAGGAGTTGAAAGGATTGAAAGGGAAATTTAATGAGAATGCAGATTATGGTATTTAGGTCTAAAAATCAACTGCATAAGAATAGGGTGAGGAAATTCATGGCTGAGCAAAAAAGGTTTGAAAAATCATCTGGGTTTGGGAATCATCTGGGAAGCTTCAAAGATACTCAAACTTGCACCCTTCCCCCCCTCCCCCCCACTGGCCCCCGCCGCCACAGAGGTTCTGATTTCAGTGGCCTGGGGTGCAGCTTTAAAAACTCTCTGGATGATGCTAATATGCAACCAAGGTTTAAAAGCATGTATTTTAAAGTGTTCATTATTGCATTAGTCTTGATTGCCTTAGTCTGGGATGGAGTGCTTATACTTACTATTATTATTATTAAACCATCTTATGTGATTCTAATGGACAGCCAGCACTGATAGCTTCTGGGATATCAGAAAGTTTAAAACAAGTCAGTGATTATATTATTTCAAAAATATATTGTTCATCTGCTTCCAACAAAACAGTAATGGAAGTATGGTATTTACGGCAGAGAAAGTAGTTGCTCTCTACTTTTCCAACTGAAGTAACACACCCAGTTCTGCCACATTTTAGTGGAACATTTACTAATTGAATTCATCCAAGTATGTCAAAAAGAAGGAAAGCCATATCTTCTCTGACACACAATTAAAAAATGACACAATAGTTATCTTTAAGTATTTGTTAAGGGCTGTTATGGGGGAAGAGAAATTAGAATTTTTTTCCTTTGGGTTTTCTAAAGGGGAATAATGAAAGGGAGGCAAATTTCAGCTCCGTGTGAAAAATATCTTTCTACTAAAAGGGACTTCCTGGATGCCAACATTGGAGATATCCAATTAGAAATTGTACAATATCTGTGCTAGGATCGTGGGAAGCATTCCTATTTACATGTTCCTTCCAATGGTGAATTACCTAGATTGCACTGGCTCTGAAGTCCAAATCCACATGCTGTGTTCTCTTGTTTCTACATATGTGAGCTACCGTTTCACACCAGCAGCAGTAGCTCAGTGCCCTGAGCAGAGTAGGACCTGAATAAATGTCAGTTGAATATACGAATGTTGACCTTACGTGCCTATATTTTAGCAGTAAACCAAAGGCCATGTCTGCAATGCAGAGTAAAAGCAGGCCTTCATTTGCACCAGTACAGATTCATTTTTGACTTTGCTAAAATATACAACTGTTGATCCAAAAACTAGTTATTCTACTTCACATTATCTGGTTATTATAATTCCAGATTTACCTTCTCGCCTGTCTTGAAGGCAGTTGCATAAAATCATACACACATCTGGACCCTCACACCCTGTAGGACGTACTGCCTCCAGCTTCACCTCCCCCCTTTTCACCGACCTTCTTCCTGAGGCCTCCCTCCAAGTGCACAGCCCCAGCACACTGCGGCAGGGCCTGGCTGTTCATTTCACTCCAGTCACCGTTGCTATCCACTGATCACCATGGCTAATCAAATGGTATGACAGTCTGCCCCAATCATTAAGATGACCCAAATTAACAGCCTGGCCATGTCACAGTACATTCATTCCACACACACAGACATGGTTTAAGTGTGAGGCAGAAACTTGGATGTGCTTATTTGTGTTTGCACTGTAACATGCATTATTGATAGTCCTATGCTGCTTCCCCACTTTAAATCTGCAAATGAGAATCATCTGTCAATTATTACAGCCAGAATGGAGATCTAAGGGCAAAAGAGAAAGTGGATATGCCTTTTCCCACTGCTATTTCTTTCATTTGCCCTTTTCCTTCACAGTTACATTGTGAAGCATTTTAGCTCAACACATTCCTCAGCTTTTTGCCTAAAGTGGATACTGAATCAGAATATTTTTATATCCTAAAGAGAAACAAATCTTCCCTAGCCAGGTGAAGAAGGCAGTGCAGGCTCAGAACTGTAAACTGCTTGTGGGAATTCGGTGACCCAATTTCCCTGTCAGTACTGGTCAGTGAAACTTAGTTCTTAAAAAAAAAACACAGGCAGCCTTATCTTAATCACCATTGCAATTCTTGGCACTTTACAGTGCCTGGTGTAAATTATCCCACAAATATTTGCATTCTTGATAGCCGTTTTTCTACAATGCATTTAATAAGTAGAGGGTCCTATTACCTGCTAAATGTTAGTATAAATTAACAATCCATTATGCACAATAAGTTGTATAAAACATTTACAGATAGAGATCATGTTTAATTAAAATTAACTTGCATATGAAAGCCAGGCGCACTAATGATCTCAATGACCTTTTATTACCTGCAGCCCCTTGTTTTGGCTGGAATGATTGACAGCTTGCTGTTTGGCTACCATGTTGAATTTCAGCTGACAAGACTTTTCATTTTAACTCAATTTGCCCGCCTATCACAAGCTGGTGGCAGGCCAGACCCAAGTCACCCAGCTTTGCCTCAGCAGCTTGCTCTAGTTCTCATTAGTACGCATTTATTCAGTGGAAATTGGAAGACAAATGCTTGAAGGCATGTGAACTAAGTATAGCAAATTAGGTTTAAAGACTGAATATTTATAAGTATATGGAAAGTTTTTTTTTTAATTCTAGAGCAAATTGAGAACTGAGTGCTAGCTTTGGCATAAAAGAAATAAAGATAGAAGGGGGAAGGAAGATTCTAAGAATAACAATACTATAAGCTTTTTCTTTCCGTTTTGGAAATATGTAAAATGCCTCTGACAACACCTTATCAAATACCAACCTGGCCTCTCTTTCGTGGAGTGCTTGCACAATGAAGCTTAGCACCTCGTGCATGAGAAGGGGGGAAAAATGAGGGTCATGTTCAATTGTTGCTTGGTTATCCCTTGGTATGTTTTAAATTGCCTTGTTTGTTCGGCACTAGCACAGAAACAGATGTTGCTCTACCGTGCAGGATAATTTACTGTACCTCCTGGTGCAGCATGGAAGGCCTCCCAGGGCCCAGCTGGTCTGTCAGTGGCACTGGCTGGTGTCTGCTCAACTATGACAACTACAAGTCGAGGCTGCAATTTTTTTTTTTGTTGTGCGGTTGTCATTCTTCTCAACATATAGCTCTGCCTGCACTCGCACTGGGCTGGTAGAGAAGCTGCTGGCTTTTGTGCCTGTATGTGGCAACACAGAGGCACGGAAGCTCCACTCTCCGTTGTTAATAATAATGCAACTCATTACTTCTGTCGTCTAATGATTATCGGCATGATCGCTCAGAGCAAGAGCCAACGTCGCCTTGCACACATAACTGGTACTGGAAGGTAAAACAGATTTGTCATTTACGATCTGACCGCTAAGCCACACTTTGTGTGCTCCATTATTGTGATTAACTTCTGCCTAAGATATGCTCGCCCAATTGTCATTTGTGATACTGCAGTGGGCGCAAGCTGCCGTGCTTCCCGCGAGCGCCTCAGCCAATCGGATGTGACCATGTTATTTGGACTGTTAAACGCCTGCCCTGTCACAGCAGCCACCCCACAGTTATTTAGTTTTTGTATTCCTTCCTTCCACACCCCTACTGGAGCTGGTGGGGAAACGATGCTGCTGCATATGTCAGCTACCATTTCACACCACAAGCTAAAATGATGCTGTGCTGTTGTTGACCCAACAGAGCCGGCAGCCGTACAGGGGGAGCCGGCCCTCGATTTTTACCACAGAAAAGTTGGTCGCTGGTGTCCTGCCAGCTAAAATCCGTTGTGTCAGGTGCCTTGTGTCTATTGCAATAGAATCCATGTTCCAAAACCAAAGTTCTTTTCTGGCCCCATCATCAACAAACCGTTTTGACTCTGCCTGATTATAATAACGAAGGCAGTCCAAAAGAATATGTACAGCCTCACTGTACGTCACATTGAATCACCACACTGGCCACACAGAGCTGACCGCAGCCTCATTTCTTTAGACAAACGCAGGCCCAGGGAAAAACCTCCTGGGAGAAGGCACCCAAAGCCACTTGATAGTGCTATGCAAGCTATGCCTAGGTTTACATTTTAGTGAAATAGTTACTTATTTTTATTTTGTGGCTGATGAGAGCCCCCACTGACCAGTCTGCTTCTATAATCTAATGATGAGTACTTACATTTCAGAGCTTTGCTGAAAACTGCTAGGGGACTGGGCTCTGTGTGTGTGTGTCTGTGGTTGTACATTGCATGCCACAAACAACTGTGTGTTACCAGGGGAAGGGGGAAAATACTTGGTTTGGAGCTCTCTTTTACATTGCTGATTAGAAAGAATCAAGCTTTATATTCTAGGACCCATTCACGCTGGTGAAAACATAGTCAGTTTTGATTATGAAGGCAGAGATGCAGACCTAGACAGGAGCTACATGCTGATATGCATGCTATCAGAATGATTTATGCAAATTATGCATATTATTCCCAAAGGGATTCCTCCTCAAACTGCCAGGATAAATTGCCGGAAATTAGCCATAAAATCTGTCGTGCAAGGAGCAAAAGGTGAAGGCCACTGGGAAAGCAAGGACATTCAGCTTCTGGAATCTTCCAGGTTATGATGGTGGCTGTTATTTTCCCTGGATACAAGGGAAATAGAGTTTTCTTCTGAATCCTATAAACGTATTTTTTCTTTGAAATTTTTCCAGCAAATGCTGACTCACATTTTATTTACAGCTAGCATAAAAGAATTTAAGTGTTAAGCTGTCGCAGAAAGCACCACTACAATCACTTTACTATTAACTGCCTAAGTGGTTATTAAATGTCTCAGCCTGGCTTTAAAGGCATAGCTGTTCTGTAGGTTGGTGAAATAACCCACCAGCAGTTATTTAACAGGGATATGGTTTTAATTTACAATGGGTATACCGTAACGCAATGTTTCTCTGTTGCAAACTATTCTTTCCTACAAAAATTCTAACCAATGACTTTCTGCCTCAGCACAGCACTGTTGCTCCGTCTGTGAAATGCCAGGCCACAGCTGTCTCGCCAGCCCCCTTCCCACTCTGGTCTGGCAAAGCCATCATCTCAGCACTCAGTGAATCTGATTAGGAAAGCTATTGGTGGTGAGCTTTAGTGGCAAATTGTGGGCACTCCCCAGGACCTGTCATAGTTTAAGAAGCTGTTGCTTATTTTCCTTCAGAAAGCGCCATTCTCGAGACTTTACGACTATGTTCATTTTCGTCCATCATGCGCTTCATCCAAGAGGATTTGACTCTACCGTCAGAGACCCGAGACTACCTTCTGCGAAAGGGAGACCTGCTAGCCATCTTTCCTCCCATCTTGCACTATGACCCTGAAATCTTTGAAGCTCCAGAGGTAAATAAATGTCGAACTGGTCACTGGCATTCTTAGATATTGAAAGCACATTCTTCTTCTTCATGAGCTGTTTCTATCTCTTTTTTTTACCACCTCATTTTAGATAGGATTTGAGACACTTTGATGACTTCTATTTTTCCTCCAATGGGAAAATGTTCCTGTTCACTAACGTGCTTCCTAGGATCTCTCCATCAAAGATTTTGTGGCCCATAAATAGGGATACTGTGATGAGACTCAATGCTAGTGTCTTCCAATGAAATGGGCATTGTGCCTAGGCCATCATTACCTTTAGGGCATATATAGGTTTCGTTTGGCAGAGAATTATTGAAAGCCATAAAAGGCAAGCTATTGACAGGCGGCTTAGAGGATAAACAATGACAACCATGTTGCCAAGTCTTTCCAGACTGGGTTTATATCCCAAAGTCAAACACCTTCATGGTCGTAGTTAAGCCCATATACTTTTTAACCTCTTACTAAAGATATGTGCTCCTTCTTGATCAGTTAGGATGGCGTTATGAACTTGAGATTGTAAAGCTGCTGTTCACAGGCGAAGCTCTGAGGGTAATTGTGTCATCTCCTTGTATTTTTTTCCCCCAAAGCTGGAGTTAATGAATATCAAAGACTGGAAATTAATCCACCCTGGCTCATCCCTTAATACCACTTTAGAGGTTCACCACCTGCATGCAAATTGAATGCAGTCATATTCTGCCTGTGTGCCTCATGAAGTAATGCTGTTGCTGCAGTGGTTTTTGTATATAAAAGGCCACTTTTCAAAGGGAATCTCCGTGCTCTTTTGAGCAGTTCAAAAGCTGGACCACTTTTAAACCCAGTTTCTTGAGTGAGTTGTCATGCAGCCAGGCTGGATTAAAAAATTGTTGAATTTTGGAAACCAAAGAGAAGAAGACAACTTCAAATATAACAAGATAATATGCATTGATTTCATCAGCAAGGCAAAATTTTTTAGGCGAGGGAGAATGTGTGTATGGTTTCTATCCGTTTCAGAAGAAGGGGCATTAAATGAATGATGAGAGTGAGTCGGAAGCGAGGTATTAGTGAGTGAATAAGCATTTCCCAGACAACAAGCTTTATTTCCACATGGGCAAATATCAACATTTTCACACCCAAGTAGTCAGTTAACAGGGACAATAATTAATATTTGAAAAATACTTTAAAATTTTAAAACTGCTTTATTTTTAGCTCTGATTTTTAATGTATTTAACTTTATTTTTTCATTATATAATTATTCCAATAGTCACTAAGTTTACCCTTCATGTCATGATAATAAAATCAACAAATACTCAACAAATGTTTGCCAAATCATCACTGTTTTTGTGGAACTGGTCTTTGGGTTCCTCCTACCCTCCACTCCTGACCCTGGCCCAGTGATTAAAAAAATGACCATAAATGATACTTTCAGGAGTTTAAAAATCAAAGTTAAATATTGAACTTGTGCTGATTTATATTTACATTATAGTATTTCTATAGAATACTAACTAGCAATGTCCAAACTTTACATAACAATTGACCAATCTTAATAATAATTGGAAGGGTTGGCCTCATGCTAAACCTGTGTAAAATGGAAATCATGATATTGTGAATGCTGACTTGGTGTCACTGGGGTAGCTCTAACTTAAGTTGATAGGCACTTTCTATTATTTACTAGTCTTAACATTAGTCAATTATGCCTGACTAATGTTAAAGGTAACTAGCTAATTCTTTGCCATGGTATTGTTTTCTTGAAATTAATTGTGGAATGCTAATAGTTATAGTTCAGAACCATTTTTATATGATTTGGCAAGGTCCTGTGTAATCATCCTATAAACATTTACTAAATATTTACTACTGTCAGGCATATAAATTGATTCCTTTTTTTCTTATCAACTTAGGATGGCAATAATATACTATAGATGCTCATCTGACAGATGCCCACCCCAAAACAGTGATGCACTGACAGTAAAGACGGCACATTTGTCCTTGTTACAAAGAGCCTTGGCCCAGGAGCTCTGGCCCCTGGAGCTCATCAGACGCCCTTATTTTCCATCTCCTTATCTTTGCATACTACATATCCTGAATGGGAGGACGGGCCTTAGGTATAGAAAACAGACCATTGCTATTGGGTCAAAAACATGAAGATGACAAACTCCACATATCAGTATTGTTATTCTCAGAGAGAGCACAAAGCCACTGAAGAGCCTTAGCAGGACATGGGTTCCCCCAATTCAACAAGGTTGTTCAAGTTGTTAAAAAGAAACTGGCTTGGCCATACCAGGTTTCAGGTTGTTCAAGTTCCACAGACCCTAGAATACTACATTACAAAAGCAGGCCATGGTTCTCCTTCACCCATCTTTCTGTTCCTGAATGTCCCTCCCAAGAAGCATCCTTAATTATCTCTTCTTTGACAGTGTCACTGATTCCCACCTTACTCCTAGAGAATTTGCCATTGCCCACTCTGTGCCCTGTGTATGCCTTTCATGTATTTTTTATTATGGTCCACACCACATAGTATTTTTCAATTACTTATTTACTTCTCCCTGCTTCCATATGCTACAAGCCTAGTACCTCCCACACAGGAAGGTGTCCATAGATGGTGAACAAACAAGGGGATGCCAGGATGGATGAATGCACTGAAAGTGAAAATACGCTCCAGTTAAATTTGTAAATCACCCCGGATATTGCACACTCATGTATGTACTGGGCCTGAATAGATGAAGTGGCTTGTGTATAAACATGGCAATACTATCTGGAGTGGTGAGAACTGTGGCAAAAGGAGAACCCAGGAGTCATCTTATTGAGTCCATGTGACTGCTTCTGAGTTAACCCTCAGCTCTTACAAGCATGTAGGCCTGGTATGGCCAAGTCAGTTTCTTATTGACTCAAAAAATGTGTTTCTAAGTGAAGCTTAGAATAGAATTTTCAAATGTTTGGACAAAATAAAGTTTAAAACACAATGTTGGCTAAACAAAAAGTGTCTGTGAATGTAACTGAATCTATAAGCTATGGACATGTAACCTCTGTGTTATGAATTATTTTCCTGAATATTTGTTGTTTAGCTTATTGTAATGTCACTGCTCAGGTGGTTCTTGCCTGTGGGAGAAAACAAATTGGCAGTAACATTGAAAACAATGAGAGAGAGCAAAGAAAACACCCCTTCCCAGTTCTTTCTTCCTCTTTCTCTGTTGGTCTAAATACTATCCAAGAATATCCCAGGGGTGTCAAACTCATTTTCAATGGGGGCCACATCAGCCTTCAAAGGGTCAAATGTAATTTCAGGACTGTATAAATGTAACTACTCCTTAACAGTTAAGAGAGAGCTTGGTGCTGCTGCCAGGTAGAAACAAGATAAAACAAAGTGGAGGGCTGGATTTGGCCCTTGGGCCTTGTATTTGCCACCTGTGAGATAAATTAGTTAGGAATGGATAGTTCTTTAAATTTTTCTGAAGGCTTCCTCAAATTTACATCTATTACCAGACATAATTCAAGCACTGGCTCTCAAAGAATTGGTTAATGGTGATGATTTCTTTTGTGCCAAAATGCAAAGTCGGAGCTATCAAAAAGATCAAATTTGTTGGGTTTTTTTCTATGGCCTGAAGTGATCTGGCGTAAAGGGAGGCCTAGGGAGGTCCATATGGAAGAAACAGCAAACATTTAAGATGATAACAGATTATCATAATGATGTAGCCTCCTAAAGTAAGAAAACAGTGAAAGAGTTAAGTAATTATAAAGCTGTTGAAGTACCCACTAAAGCTCTGAAGTTCAAAGACCTCTAAATAATTATTGTCCATATTTCAAACTGGAATAGAGTTGCATTCCTTGTATATTTCAAGGAAACAAATGTATAGTGCATATCTACTGTCCAGAAAGCATGTTGATGGGTGCAATGGGTGACACGGAAATAAAAAAGACCTCTGTCCTTAAGAACTTATGGCTTAGGGCTTGGCCTTACCACATGGCGATCTCATAGCCAAGCCCTTCATGTTGACAGGGTTTCTGCCATTCCAGTGAACTGCTATACCTGCTATGTTGGAACCAGCTGGTAGACCAACACTCTGAAAGCCCCGAGTTTGTCAGTTTTCCTGGTATAAATAATCCCACCTTGGCTGATTTCATGTAACCCACTTGAAGACCCTAAACATGAAGTTGAAAAGAGATATATATGCACACTTGTTTGAGCCAGTATAAGCTGGCTGTAGCACACCACTGGTTGGAACCTAGGTTGTGGAGATAAAAAGGGACTTGTGTCATCTGTCATCTTGCTCCCAGGAGGATTGACTGCAAATCAGGGCAACAGTGCAGCTCCTCATCCATTCAGAACACTGGCAGTTTTTATTTCTAGGAAGTCACATCTTTTATCTACTCTAGATCCCTATGCTCAAATGATGAACTGAGTGAATCCAAGACCTGACCATACTGAACATCGTCTACCTCAGCAAGACCATGTTTGTGCCTTTTTAACTTCTGTACTTCACATACAGGAAGTAGTATAAAAATCTGTTGAATGAACTAAATGTGATGTTTGGAGAACACAAACTAGGGTGTTAGACAGTGCTCCTCAGTCACTTACACCAAAAAGTCTCCTCAATTCAGAAAATTGAATCATCTATCCAGTGCTGATTTGTAGTGCTAAATATTATACCATTTTCCCCTTGTAAACACTGAATATTCATCTACTCTTCATTCTCTACATGTTTATTTACTTATTCAATATCTCTATTTTTTCAAAAGCTTGAAGATTGCTTTTAAAATATACTTATTGTCATGTATTTATTCATTAATTCGACAAACATATATGGAGTCTCTACTATGTGTATAGCACTCTGTTGGGTGCTTCAAAAATACAGAGATAAATAAGACAGTGCGACAACTCCAATCTCCTGGGAATTCTTGGCTCTGCCATTTCCTGTGGGTTAGCTCTGTCTGCAGCCTGTGGCAAGATGGCCACAGCAGTTGCAGGCATCATTTTCACATAAAAGTAGGTCCAGAAGGGAAAGGGTAGTGAACCATTTTTGTTTGTTTGTTTTTGTTGAAAAGAAGAAAACTTCTCCCAGATGTCCCCACAGACTTTTCCCGTACAGCACTAATGAGATTGGTTCACGTACCGTAGCCTAAATCAGCCAGAGGCAGTGCGACGTGAGTACTGCCGCTGGAGCCTAGACAAATCTGATGCAGAAGAAAGACATTGAGGAGTCATGTACAACAATCGTCAGAGGAGCAGTGGGGAATTTCAATGTCTTACCCTTTCTCTTATGGCTTCTTTATTCTTATCCATTTAATGATATTGCATTCAATATTATTAATTATGATACACTGAGATATTTTAAGAGCTCATTTTAAATATGAAACACTGAGCTATTATAGTTATAAGAGTTGAAGCCAACATGATGAATCCTGTATTTAAGTTGTTCTAAGTAAACATGTACATCTTGAGGTTTCTAACCCTTTGTTCTATGGCACTGTGACCTCCAAATCTCAGGGATGACTCTTACACTCCTTGTTATGGCCACACTATATCCCTAGCAGCTGCCACAAGCTTTCCCCAATATCAGTTCCTACTCTGGTTCCCCATGCCCTCGCAATAGAAAACTGAAAATAAATTTCTACTAAAAAATATATTTATGCCTATGTGCCCTTTGCCCTTAATGATGGTCTCAGAGCAAAAGAAGGGGGTCTCTTCCCTTCTTGTTTCATAATATATTTAACCAAGTAGGAATTTCTAACATGTTTAGTATGAGGAAATTGAATAGAATATGATAAAAATTAGAGGAGTGACATTCCTGGTTGAGTAGGAATTTGAAGGAACTGAATGTAAACACTAAGGTCACAGGGGTAGGGGACCAGTACGTGCAGATCACCATGGTCCCCCAGAGGGCAGCACAGCCAATTTCACAAAGAACAGGAAAGCAGTGACAGTCTTGCTTACTTACGACATTATAAAGGACATTTATAACAGGACATTATTCAATCATAACCCAAGCTAAGTTTTCTTTTTGTATTTTCTGGCTTAAACAATAGAACTACAGTGAGACCATTTTTAACAAATCATTTCATGGCAAAATTAACTTGAACTGATTTGACCTCGGCCAGGAGTTCTTGGGAAGAGTGCTGGTTTCCTCAGATTGGTCAAGGGCCGCAGCACTAAACTGGGGCAGGTGGGCCTGGGCCAAGGTAATGGACAAAGGTCACCAGGAAAGAGTGCTATACAGTAACTCTATGTCACAAAATATATGTCAACAAAGAGTATTCTTACTCATAGGATGAACAGATAGTTTCAGTTTAGAGCTGATTAGATTGTATTCGAATACATCCCAGAAATTTCTCTGTGGGAAAACACACTTGTATTCTAATGCAGATTAATTTGCCATTTTGATTGCATCAACTTACAAGTTGGAGTGGAATAGAAGCTACCCAAAGTGTGTTTTCTAAACCTGACTACTTATCAAAATACGTATCCTAGGTAAATGAGGATAAACCCAGTTTTTTTTTAAAGAAATGATTTTGCTGGCATTAATAGTGGCATGAAATGAGATGGGTCTTTTATGATGAATTCACAATCTATCCAGGTATTGTAGGGTTTTCTCTATAACCTGAAATGCTTTTTCATCTGACCTGCTTCCTTTGCCTTTGACACTATATAGTTCATACCCAAGTTGTGTGCTGGCAGATCTAATGCTAATGAGCACCAAGCACAGGAAATACTTGGTCATTTTCATGCATGCCACGTGTTAATTTAATCAATGGTTTAATTCACCATGGGCTGAAATAAGGTCACTCAGTCTCCTCTTGGAAACTCGAGTGAGAATAAATTAAGATGGCAGGCCAACACCCGAGATGATCCAGGCCCATCGTTTTCTGTAGCAAGTAATAGAACTTATTTATGAAAACATATCAGAAACACCTGCCAGCCTAGAATTAACCCAAAGAGAGTTCATTAATAGAACTGTCATAGGAGAAATTCAGTCCACCATCAAAAAACAAGCAAGACCAATTTTGTGGCTTAGCTCCTCTCTAATGCTTCATGTGAATTTTATTATTTTACATCTATTGAATCTAAACATAAATGAACACTAAGCTCATAGTTCTTATCCATTAGTAGCTGACTGGGAAAGAATAGAGAAAAAGCATGTTATGGATCCTCAGCAGCTCCTATTCATTATTCCAGTAACCATGGTGGCAGTACCAGAGCCCTGACCTTCCACCCAACATTGGCCCATCAAGTGCCCATTAGTCAGGACCCACCTCAATGAACAAAAATAGAGATACTGCCTCCATACTTAGGAAACTCAGCATGGGAGAGAAAGGTCGATTAGGAAGGAAAGTCATATAGGTGCTTGAATTCCCCCTTCTTATGGGAGACGTAATTTCTTAGTAGAATTTGAGTTTTTTGAAAGTTTATACATGATTTGCACTTAATCAAGCTTTACATTCTTAAAAGGAGCCTTGTAAGGCAGGCAAGGGAAGCTGGCTACTTTGTGGATGTGGACTCAAGCTATTTCATGTAAATTTTTTAACAGTCTCTATTTCTTCCTCACAGGAATATAGATTTGACCGCTTTGTAGAAAATGGTAAGAAGAAAACGACCTTTTTCAAAAGAGGTAAAAAGCTGAAGTATTACCTCCTGCCATTTGGATTAGGAACCAGCAAATGCCCAGGCCGATTTCTTGCAGTTAATGAGATAAAGCAATTGTTAGTTGTACTTTTAACTTATTTTGATTTAGAAATAATAGATGATAAACCTGTTCAACTAGACTATGGTCACTTCTTGTTTGGTGTTCAGTACCCAGCTTCTGATGTTTTATTTAGGTACAAAGTCAAATCTTAAAGAAGCTAAAAGGAAACAAATGAGATCTATGGAAACTAACCTAAATGTCCTTAGCTCCCTATTCATTTCTGATTTCTGCAAATGTAATTGCTTTGTTGCTTTTGTTTAAAAAAGTGCCAAATTTGATTTGATTTGAGATCTGTTCGGTTTGTATTTGGTCATAAAATAAAACAGGATGGTGGCATGAAAATAAACATTAGAATCAACATAATGAACCTAACAGCAGTTTTCAGTTTCTACATACTGTGATTTCTCACCTGTGATTGTAAATAGGCAGCAATAGATTTGGTACTGTGGGATTTTTAAAAGTCACTCAAATTCGTTTCTAATATATAAATACACATTTTACCTACTGCTGGAAATTGACACAGTCTAACAACTTCCAAATTGGCAGAGAACGGAATTAAGTTTTCATGAGAAAGACTGGATGAAAGTATTCCCTTCAAGTATAATATTGATAATACCTATATCACCATGGTATATTTGCATTAAATGAGTTTTGCAGTAGATTAAATACTTCAACTTCAATATTTAGTCTTCCATAAGTGCTCTTTATTACTTGTATACTATAGTTCAATAAAACAAAATTTCTTGTGGTATAAGACCACTCATGTTCAAGTTTGATACTGATAAGATTTAATGTATAAGAACACACAAAACCTATTATATATTCAGCAATTGCCCTAAACATTAGTATTAGGTTTATTGTAGAAGCAAATGTTGAAATCATTGCAGGACTGATTGTAGCATTTGGCTGGAGTGTAAACTATATCATTATGGCAGTGTTGCAATTGAGACTTTCCTAAATGCTTCTATTCATATAAATTGAGAAACTGGATAGTAGCATTTGTTCTTGACACCTGACCTTTTGGACTTAAAGTTTACTTAATTTTGAATTACAACATTACATAATGGAGTATAATTTTATATACCACAATGCAGCATTGTGTCTATGATGCAAAGGTTTCTAGTACCAGATTACCAAGTGATTGTCTGGAATTTGATATAATGATAATGCTCTATCTACAGAGGCAAAACAGGTGTTAAAACCCAGATAATTCATGCTGCATTAATTGAGACTTCTAATATTTCAGAAATGTGCTATTGTTTTTAAAAAGAAATTGATTTTTAATAACATTATAAAGTACTTACCATATATAAGAAGAAAATAGATTTCCCAGCATTTATTTTCTCCTTCCTAAAATACATGCTTTAAAAGGTCCTTTGTGAAGGATTTCTGGTCTAAACTCTACTTTTGTTTGACTGAAGATGTTTTCATTTTTGCCCTCATTCTGGAAACATGGTTTCACTAGTTGCCCATGTCTAGGATGAGAACTTTTTCCTCACAGCGCTTTGAAGATATTGCATGTTCCTAATAGGGCTTCCATCAATGTTTTCAAGAGGTTAGCCCTTTATAAATTTAATTACTCAGTAGGTAGCCTGTGTCTTCTCTCTGACAGCTTTAACATATTGTCTTTGTCTTCAGTGTTCTTTGTTTTTATTGTCATGCTTGTGATTCTTGAATCTGAGAATGTGTGTCTTTCATTAAGTACGAAATATTGTTGGCCATTATTTCTTTAAATATTACTTCTCTCCACCTCTCTGTTAAATCCTCTCACTCTATACTCAATGTTGTCTGAACTTTTCTCCTCATATTTTATATTTCTAATTTAAATTCTTGGTAATTTCTTTAGATCTCTCTTCTAGTTTTTTTTTTCTTACAGTATATCAAATCTGCTTTTTAACACATCCATTTAATTTATTTCTTCCTTCTTTTTACTTTAACTCCAGGTTGATAGGATTGAGTAATCATACTCCTTATACCTGTTAGTTCATTGTACACAATTATAGTTGGTCCAGGCAAGGCCTCTCTGGCTTTATTTACTCATTCGATTTTATCCCTAACCCCCCACCCTAGAACCCTCCCCATTGTAGGCAAACATTCTAAAGTGTTTTATGTTTATCTTTTTATAAAACATATATTATTATCTTGGGTGCATGTTTTGATTTACATAAATGTATTTTCTGTAAACTAGATCCTTGTCAATTCAATATTCCACAATGTGCACCCACCATGTTTTAATAATCTGTTTACCCAGGAAACTGTTGGTGGGACAGTTACTGTGAGGGAGAAGCCAAAGCCCAACCTACCCCCACTTATCTTTCTGCTGCTGTGCTTAGCCACCCTCCACCATGCGCTGCTGCAAACCTTGTCCTCAACGCCAGCACCACAAACATACACGCATGCCCCACTTGGGCCCTCAGCTTTATCTCCTAAAGCATAAGCATAGCCCTATAAGCATAGCCCATGCACTTCGTGCCAGGACATCTAGTCCATCATATTACCTTAAATGGAAGCCTTCAGATTCTTGAATTCATCTTTGTAGTACACTTCTGTGATTTTACAGCAGAGAAAATGCAAAAACTTATTCCATTCTAATTTCTGCTTAATTTATAATTGGAAGTGTATATGAGAATTTAGAAAAAAAGTAAGAGTAAATTAAATGGTTGAGAAAATATTTTGCAAAAGCAATGGACAGGAGAACCAAAACAAGAGAATCCTGTGACCAGCTTAAACCTAGTAATTAAAGAGTGTTCATGAACAGAACAGATGTCATGGTGCAATAAGTTAAAAGACATGGTTTCTAGCTGTGACATCACTGGTTTATTATTATCAACAAGTCACCTTGCTTCTCAGTGCTTCAGTTTCTTTATGTGCAAAATAAAAATAAGAAGGCCTTTTCTACACCAGGGTTCATTATGGGGATTAAACATAGTAAGATGTGTAAACTTATTTTGAAAAGTGTAATGCAATATGCAAATATAAAGCTGTAAAACAGGTACTTTGACAATGTTTGACTTTTAAAAACTTTTTTATGTATTTGTAAAAGTTAATGCATTAATCATTTATTTGATCAAACATTTATTGAACATTTCTTCTGTTCTAAATATGTTGTTCATTAGATTACCTTTCCTTAAAAACATACAGTTTATTAAGGAAAACAACATATTCACAGTTAATTGATTATAAATGTAGTTGTAAGTAATAAATTTATCCTTTTAAAACCATTCTAAAATTCTGATTTATCACTAGTTCTGACTAACCTTCCATCATTCTTTCCACATTAATGTTTTGTAATGAGAAATTACTATGTGCATAATCATACACAACAAAACATATACAGCAGGGATTGTGATTGTATGGTAAAAATAACCAAAACCAAATACAGTCATTGAGGCTCCAGAATGTTTTTCAAACTGTATTTTACATATTATAAAGTCCATCTTTTCATTTGTAAGTCTCCCCTAAGTTTCAAAATAAAGAAAATGAATCATTAATAATGTTGCTTTATGTCAATGGCCAATAGTAATGAGGCATTCAGTTAGCAAAAACTAAATGTTCTGAAGGTATTAAGATAAAAGCTATTTATCACTAAACAAGGCATGTGATAAGCAACCCATAGGAAATTTTATCTGCCTTGTCTTGGTTTTCCTGACATAGTTCATTGTATCTTCTCCATTTCATCATTAAGTTTTGGGTCACAAGTCTAAGGCAAAGGAGCTTCCCAACTTAATAGGGGTAACTTTTCCTGTAAGCATCTTCTAATTTAACAGTGGAATCTTAAAACCAATTTCAAAGATCAAAGCTAAAAATTGTCTAGATTTTGATTGTAGTGTAAAATAATGTCAGTAATTATAAAACAAGAATTATATGTCAGTAGAATGTGCCCTGTTTTAACCTATTAAGTTTGCAAATGTTGCAAACTATTATTTACTTGAACTGCATTATTAGGTATTCATATTCACATACTCAATTAAGAAAAAGTTAGCAAGCCAAGATTACATTCCCTGTAGCATTATTTTAAATTATAATGAGCGATCACATAAAACTCTGGTATTTCTCTAAAGCAATTATTGCTTATTCTACTTCAGAGTGTTAATCTAAATCAGTGATCATTGATGTTTGAAGATTTTAGTTTTAAATGTTTATTCTGTTTATAATACCTTCTTGAGTAAGATAAATTTAACTCATGAAAAGCCCTACTGCATAATTTTAAATAGAAGATAATTTGGCAATATTTATGTTTAAAATTTTTTTAGGCAGAAGAATGCTATACATCATTTAAAAAACTATTGCCCTGAATCATATGTTTAATATTATCTTTTTATTTTAAAATGGCATATATGTGGGTTTATGAGGAAGCACATTATCTTAACATTCTAGGTAAGAAACATGCTTTGTAAATCTATTTAATTTTATTTACAAAACAAATTCAATAAATCAATTTTTAAAGCACATACCAATGGCTGTGTCTTCTTATTTCCCTATAAGGAACATGTTAGACTTGACTACAAATAGCAAATTCTTTGGGAAATAATTTTGCTGTCTGAGTAGCCCCATGTCTCATCACCTCCGCACACACATGTGCATGTATTTTTATTTTGATATTCTCCTTAAAGGCATATTAATTGTTATATTCAGAGTATTTTTCAATATATTTTAGCTTAGTTATTTATGTGGGAAGTAAACACAGATCTAAAAATATCAGTAACTAATAAGTTATTTAGTTATTCAGTTATTTATATTGATTTTAAGGAGACAGAGGGAGGGAGACATCGAATTGTTGTTTCACCTACTTATGCTTTCAGTAGTTGATTCTTGTATGTGCCCTCACCAGAGATCAAACTCAGAACTTTGGAATATAGGGACGGTGCTCTAACCAACTGAGCTACCTGGCCAAGGCCATAATAAGCTTTTCAGTAAGTTCATTTTAACCAGACTGACCTTGCTAGGCTACAGTTCTTAATAATTATTATTATTCTGTGGAAAGACATATAAGAACAATAAATGAGACAGAACTTCCCATTAGATGTGGGCTTTGTCCTCCGTGGATCACTGTACCACAAATAATGAATAAAACAATAATATTTGGACAGTATTCTATTCTATATAAAGCTGAAATTCAAACTGTAAAAAGGCATATAATGCAGAATGCTGTTGATGGAAATGAAATGTGGCTCCTTTAGTAACTGGCCATACCTTGTTTCATTGGGATACTTGGCTTTTCCAAGAAACACTCCTGTGAGTTATTAAGGTTTGAAGGGAGCTCGCCTTAGCCTCTGTAGGTGTCCGTGTGCATTTGAACTAGTCAGTTCAGATTTGTTGAACAATCAGGATAAATTATGTCCTTAAATGGACAATCTATGAAATAGTTATCTTCATTTCAATTTTACTCTAAGAGACATTTATCGAGCAAAGTTTTTTCAGAAGTATCTGAAATTAACCATGCTCATGTGAGTAATAATGTGCATTTTCTATTCAGGGTAGAAAAAATACACCATGGTTATGCTGGATAAGTTCAAGTGTTTGATACAGTTTATTGTTAATTATTTCAGGAATAGGTTATGTTCTCAATTTCTAAATGTATTATTTTTTTATAAGGAGAGCATGATATATTGCAGACTGAATAAAAAGTAAGTGTTTTCTATAGCATTTTGTTTCCCTTACAACATTTTGTGCTTGTAGGAGAAACTAGAGGGAACACAAGCAACAGGTAAAGGTACTAATATCTAATGATTCATCACTGAGTCACATTTAAACATTTAAAAATATAAAGTATGTATTAGTTGAAAATGTTGCGTGCAAGAGAATATTTACCCCATATTACTTTTGTTTCTAAAAATTAGCCATTGTAGTTAACATAAAATGTATGTCATTATGTGTGAAAACCCACAGTTTTCATAAATGCTTTGATTTCATGTTTAAATTCATGTTTAAATGAAATGTACTTTCATTCTATAATTTCTAAGAACTGGCCAATATACTCAAAGTTTCATAAATGCTTTGTTTTATACTTTAAATGAAACATTTTTTAAGTCTTTGAAATCACTTTTGAATTTTTTCATGAATCTAAAAGTTTACAGGAAGTAATATTTTCTCTGTGTTTTGAAATCAGGTATTAATTTTTAAAATCTTTTTATTTTGAATGAGTTTTAGACTCACAGAAAAACTATAAAAATAATACTTACTTTTAAAGAAGAGAGTCCTCATACTAAACAATGCTTGCAAAAACTTTAACTAAAGAATGGAACCAGGACTTTGGCAGTGCAGATCTTAGTTCATTTTGACCTTTGGAGATGGCCATCCACAATACCGCCCTGTAGGACAATGTACTTGACCGGCTGAAATAATGGGAGTATGCATGCCACTCAAATTCTCCATAGTTCAAAGTGTTTTGTTTTCATTAACTTTTTTCCTAAATTGTAAAAAGAGCTTACTTTGTTGAGTAATTCCAGGTTTTACTTAATTTTACTCTCTCGAGAAATCTATGCTTTAAAGATATGTCTGCCTGATGCTTCTCCAAAAGAAAATTCAGTTATTCCCTGGCCCTACTTCCTGGTTTCCCTTTCTCCTCTACGGTTCTTCACTTTTCTATTGGAGGCCTGATTAGGAAATGTGTTTATTTAGTTATTTTATTTCATTTCATTTTTTTATGGAAGTCTCAGATGGAGGGCCAGCCTGGCACATGAATGTTGACCCTAGCTCTGCAGGAAGACTGTACCTAGCCAATGGAGCTGCACTTACTTACTTGAAGAGATAATGAATGCCTGAGCTAATGTTTTAACCACTTAGGTACATACTCTGAGGCTCTCCCACAATAAAGTATTATTTGTCTTCTCTTTTCAAAGAGTAGATGAAAAATATTTATCAAAGAATTCTTTTTACCAAGTTCTTCAGTAATTGCCAGAGCAGATAAATGCATAAAATGAGGGTAGGCCATGAAGCACTTTTATGTTTAAATCTAAATTTTCACCTCTAAACATCTCTGCTAACATAGCGGATTTGAGTTGCAACCATCCTCCTAATAAAATACAAAATCTTTTAAGATTGCCAAGGATTTGTAAATAATGGATCCTTTAAATATCCCTGAACTTTATTCTAAAACTTATAAGGAGAAATAATAATTGCTTTATATAACCACTGATACCATTTTAGCATTTGATGAAGATGTTAATTTATGGTTGGTTAGCAGTTTATGGCTGTCATTAGTTTCTCAGTTTGATTCACATTAGAAATCTATTTTTCTTTTTTATTTTAATCGGAGACAATTATACAAAGATATGGTTATGTTTTATCTAAAATGTATCATTCTACTATAGCATTTCAAATTATTCACAGATCATAGTTCTTATATGTGCATATATGAATTTAAAAAATACAGCAATAAAATGCTTGAAACAGATCATAAATTTGCTTCATATTTTATTGCATCTCTGAATCAGGTTGAGACGACAAGGGCAACTATGGGCTTTGGGAAAGAATTAACTCTTTCCCAAACTGGGAAGGAGAATGATACCACAGTGTGCATAATTAAAGCCAATGCCCCCATCAAAGCTCGCTGGTGACTTGTCAGATAGGCTTGTCAATCATATATTGGGGGGAGGGAGATGAAGGTAACTGCAAAATCCTCTCTTCCTTCACAGTCTAACCTTCCCAGCACAGTCATTTCTCTTCCCGAGCTTTCTAGCCTGTGTTTCTGTACTGCTGAAATTAGAGAACACAGGGGAAGGAAAAGGAAGAAATTCACACACGCACATGAACACTCACTCAGGGATACTAGGTAATTTTGCAGTAGCCCAGAAGGCACCTGGATCATGTTAAGAAGAGTAATTTAGAAAAAGTGGTAGAATTTAACACAAATCAAGCCTTGGGGAAAGCAAGCAAAGAGTTTCCCTGCCTTGCTAGGAAGAAAAGAAGTCTTCCGGGGGTTAAAACTGGGGCACTTTCCCAGAATTACTGAGTGTGGCACAGCTGCCAGGTGCTCTTGAGAAGCCTGGCATCTGAACGTGAGCCCCCCAGGCCCTGAGGTGCAGGGGACAGCCCAATCCCAGTGCTTGCCACCTCTCCAAAGAGTTTGAAGCAGAGTTCTTTAAGTTCGCTTTTTGTCCCAAGGAACCTGGAGGTTGCACAGCTTTGTGCCTGCCTGCAGGAGGGACCCGGGGCCCGTCCAGGGGAAACTCTGGGAGAAGAGGTGCTCTGCGGCTGCGGATTCCGAGTCCCTCCCCGGACGCAGCGCCAGCTGAGAAGCGCTGTAGGCGCGCTTATTGTGGACGTGGACGTCGTTCTGTCTGCAAATTTGAGCTAGCCGATCTGCGGGAAAGCCATCCCTCTCCCCTCCTGCTCTCTCAGGACCTGGTCCTGGCCCTCAGGCAAAGCAAACACCAGGTATACCACACAGCCTACAGAACACTGGTTTTAGTAAACACTTAACAGTCGATCAGAAGAGCCAGCGGATACCACGGGGAGACAGGGACTTAAACTGAGTTGCTTTTACTCTTAAACTGAAGTTATTGTCTCCTCGTTTTCCCTCCTGTTCCCCTCCTACCATCAACGGTGCCCAATGTCTGATTTAAAAAGGCCACATTTAAATCAACCTGCAGCTCATTGACTTGGCAATCCAAGGGCCTCGGAGTTATAAATGCCAACACAGAGAGCTCAGGAAACGGGCTCATTTATTTTGCCCACGTGACAAAAATGTGTTAATTGATGTAAAGTTGCGTGGCATGTGGATAATTTAGTCTGACCCACATTTTAATTAAAAGAAAACTTATGTACATTCCTGATGTTTATCTTTTGCAATTTAATTTTGTTTGGAGGCGCCGTTGTGTAGTTAACGCCCATCTGCCCCCAACCCGCATTTCATAAAGGTTTTACTAAGGACCCTCGCCTGACCGGGATTCATTACCTCCTGCCGTCCATGTGCACACTTAAGGGTCTCCACTGGCTTGTCCGCTCCACCCGGCAGGGTCGCCACAATGTGCTGTGAGCCGGGAAGTGAACTCTCATCATTATTTTTCAAAGTCTGGGAAGTGTATTATCCTTTTTTCCTAGTGGTAATTAGTTACCATAGCATCTAATACGTAAATGTGCCCAGAGCACACCATTAACAGTTAAACGGAGGATTCAATTTAACACATGATTATATCTTTCATAAGTCATTACATTGGAAAAGTCAATGCCACTCATGCTGGAACAATCTCCAGATCCGGGGCGCACAGAAAGTTTCAGTTCTGGCGTCGGAGACCAAGGGCGCGTGGAGAAGGGAAGCCCATGGGATTGCTCCTACCCTCCTACCGCCCGCCCCCCTCCCCCAACCCAGTGAGCTTTTGGCAGTAAAGATGTGTGGTGGATGGGGTTGAAGAGAGAAGAATTTAAGCTCAACACAGGGCGTTGGAGAGGATGCCCAGCTGAGGAGTGGAGAGCGCACCACGAGTGCGCGCGCGCACTCGCACACACACA